CCCCAAAACCCCAAAACCCCAAAACCCCAAAACCCCTTAGAGTCTCGTATTTGTTGAGTAAGTGTTTTAGAGGTAGTAAAGAGCGCATATTTGGGTGAAATGAATGGCCTCTTGGGACATGGTTGAGATAACAGAGATATTAGAGAAAATACAGAGTTTTTTCTAAGAATAGCTTACATTTCGATTATCAGACAGTGCATCAGTTCCATCCATTGGGCTTTCAATATTTTCAAAGTTTGGTATATTTTTTCTTTGTTCAGATTCTTAAGGAAAATCTGAAATTTTGTCTGGCTGTTTCCAATTTTGGCTCAAGTTCTGTAACATTCATTATAACATTAAAGTTACTCTTCCATTAAGATCTGGCACCTTTCTCCCTTGACATAATGTAAATGTCTCTATTATTCGGTCTCTGTGTGTCTCTGGAGTACTTAAAAGCTGGCTCATTTAGAAAAACTGAAGACAGAACTAACTTCTTCTTAGATTGAGAAGCTCTGAAGATGCGATAATGGGAGAAAGGCAAATGATATCTTTCTTTTAACATTTTCTCTTCCTAAGTTTGTATTTCTTCATAAAATACTCTAATTTTTCTTGACCAAAATGCAAAATTTTATGAAATTTATGATGGGAATTTTAGACATACTATTCTATCTCATTGCTTCCATCTGAAGACTTTTTTGAGATGAGCTTACTCTTTTGTTCTAAGTTTAGTTTCCTGGAAGATTGAGGTACAAAAGGCTTTAACCAGATTTCGGGTCAATTAGTAAGCTGAAAGTTGTCTTCACAAAAAGACTGAGTTTGTATCTTTCTAGGTAAATCTGGCTCTTGAAACACCAACAAGGCTATACAACGACTACCATGGACATAATGTTGATGAATCTGGTCTCTTGTTAACAGTAAAGACAAGCTTTTGACTACTTTGCTTGCACTAAATCTTTAGACTATTTAATACTAAATTTTTTAATCGGTTTATTTCTCTTCATAATTTAGTTTAATCACTGGATTATTTTGTCTTAAAGATTTGAGGTTTAACAGTTTGCTTACATTATTCTTTGAAGATTTGTCTTTCTTTGAGCTCTTGGCAAGGTTTAACTTCTAATTATGCTGAATTATTTTATGACTCTTCGGAGAAACTATAGGTTAATCAAGCAAAGTTACCTTTGATAAAGTCAGAAAACCCTTTTGGGAATTGTTTGTCGAGCTCCTTCGTTTTCCAGTGTGTTAAGATCCCTTACATGTCTGAGATTAATGAAAGGCTTGTTTGGTTCAATTAAATAATGAGATCTTTGGGTATTTGTTCATTCATATTCATAAATTTCAATAAAGGTGAACTTTTATGGGGTTTTGGGGTTTTGGGGTTTTGGGGTTTTGGGG